GCATTACCTGAGTGTTGCCATTTTTAGTGATTGAGTTAGATCCATTTATCCTACATTCTTCCTAGCCTGATTTTTCATTTTTTTATTTGTTAAAGAGACACTATCGTCACCAGAACAACTACAGCTTAATGAAGTTGATCTGGTGAGTAGAATAGCTCCCTTCAGGCATTTTTATGCAAGCACTGCCTTTTCTGAAAAAAGGCAGTGTTTACATTGCCCCTAGGGACACTCCAAGTGGCCACTCCTTAGATGGCCACTGGAGGGGAATCCTGGCTCAGGGCTGCACAGTAAGCAGCCCTGCCATTCAGCGTCCCTACGCTCTGCACGAGTCATCACTAAATCCACATGCTTAGCCGGCAGTTTTGAAGTCAACATAAAGAGGAGCAATTGCTTTGGCAACTGAAGTCACAAATAAATGCTAGACATTTACAGTCCATTTTAGCCCAGGCACAGCTTGCAAAAGAGAAGGAAATAGGAACATTGGGGAGTTATTTATAAAAACTGTTGGATTTTCTTTAATGTTTGTAACATTTTCTTTTGTATAAAACTTTACTTTGTTTTTTATGTATTTATGTATTTTTCCCAAATAATGCATCTTTCTGCAATTTATTTTTACTTTTTTTTTTTGCTAACTTTTTTGTAGATGATTTTACTACTGATTACATTCACAAAATAAGATTAATTTATTTATAATAATTGATATACTGCATCCATTTCTGTAACATTATGACAGCCACAATATTGTAAAATTGTATAAACCTGCAATAAAATCCATGTAACTCACTCAATGCATTAACATGAATGTGTTTATTGATTCACTGTTATTTTCACAAACGTCTGCTGAGTCCCTTGTTCTAACAGTATTTCCTGCTGGGTGTGAGATCACTGATCGTACATTGATACCCCAGAACTGGTAGAATAGAAGATCTGATCCCACGTTTAAACTGCTGTGCTACTATATCTTCAGACATGCCAGTAAATACAAAACGAGGACATTACGGAAATAAAGCCGTTAATTAGGTTAAGCCTCAGCCAAGGTTTTTTATATTAACTATAGTCCAAATAAATCATGTTGTCAGTAGGGTCAAGATGAAAGGTCCCTCTAAAAAAGAAAGGTAGGCTATTTACAATTAACTTTTCTATTTGTTGCAATTTATTATTGCAGAGCTTTCAAAATGATGATATACTTAGGAGGTCAATAGAAACCCATCTGTGGTCAGTTCTTTGAAAAGCTCTATTAAATGGAATTGTTGGCATATTCAATTAGAATGTACTAAAATTAAGACAAGATAGCATACATAAAACTGCTCTAGTAGCTGTTAGGGATGCATGGTCTAAGAGTTTGAATAACCAGCTCTTTTTAGAGTTAAGACATATTTAACATAACTAATAAAATAATATAAAAAAAATGTATTTGTTAAAGAGACACTATCGTCACCAGAACAACTACAGCTTAATGTAGTTGGTCTGGTGAGTATAATAGCTCCCTCCAGGCATTTTTATGCAAACACTGCCTTTTCTGAAAAAAGGCAGTGTTTACATTGCCCCTAGGGACACTCCAAGTGGCCACTCCTTAGATGGCCACTAGAGGGGCTTCCTGGCTCAGTGCTGCACAGTAAGCAGCCCTGCCATTCAGCGTCCCTACGCTATGCATGGGAACACTAAATTTTCCTCATAGAGATGCATCGCCCCTTTGCCGATTTTAGCCAATTTTAGCCAATCCAAAGCTTTCCCCATGGGAAATTAGCAGGGAAAGCATTGGATTGGTAAAAAATTGGCCATTTTGATGATGTCACCAAGGGGGTGGGACCAGCACCGGCAGACCCATGGAGAGCTGGAAATAAGATGAATTTTAACCCATTCTGAGGGGACTTGGGGGAGGGGGGCAAGCCACCTAAATGGTGGGTGTTCACTATAGGGTCAGAAATACATGTTTGTGTTCCTAACCCTATAGTGATCCTTTAACTATATAAACCTTAACCGCAACAATGTTGTTGTGGGTATCATTTGAATATGAAGACTTGGCTACTTTATATATAAATATTAGACCTGCGCAAAAATTCATTTGTCTAAATCAAATGGCTTTTAATCCACACACGGAAAAATTGATTATCTGGGATTTATCAGTGGAGTTTATGCAATGTATGTCCGAAACATAGTTTTGCACAAGTATAATAAATATTGTACATGATATTTGTCAACATATGTTATTTTATAACCCTTTGGCTATATAATATGTTTGAATTAAGTTTTACAAATATATATATAACAGTACACTAGTTTATATTGTTGTATAGTATTAAAGGGACACTAGAGTCACCAGAGCAACTACAGCCTAATGGTGAGTATAGTCAGTCCTTTAACCCCTTAAGGACCAAACTTCTGGAATAAAAGGGAATCATGACATGTCACACATGTCATGTGTCCTTAAGGGGTTAAATACTTCATACTAATACTAATATATTTATAGTTGTTCACTAAAGTGAGAAATGTCTATATTTAAAGTGAATGCAACATGTGTTTCAAATTTAAAAGCTTTTTATAAGCCTGTATAATAAAGGTTTTTGTTTTTTTTTACTTATTGGGCATTATTGGCTCCCCATTTTCTGGTTCCCCATTTTCAATCCTGCAAAAATACAACTGAAAACTTACCTGTAATCCAGTGCAAGACGAAGCTTCCTGTGCTGCCCTCCATGCGTCTTTTGATGTCACCAAGGGCCATGTGCGGTCCAAATAAATACTTCTCATAGAGAATAATTTGTTTGGATCATTTTTCCAGTTAATGTCACATGCGCAGAAAGATAAGTCCTGTGCTCACTCCCATCACTGGGCGGCAGCAATGATTACAGTACACATCAGCCCCAATATATAGTAAAAACCAAAGAAAAACAAGTTGCCTGCGCTCTCTCCTTAATCCCTATGTATTTTTAAACAAATTGAGTTTTTTTAGTTACCTCCAATGGCCATGAGAGGATAAGCCCACCCGCCAACGTCAAGGCAGACCCCCCACAGGTGGGTCCTAACTCTAACCATTCGCCTTGCTTCCTTGAGCTTCTGGCAAAAATCTCTAATGAGACAGAAAGGGGTATTTTTTTATAAACACCCCTATATATTATTAACCCTTAAGAGGGAACACATGGGATTGGCGGCTGCATTGTAACAAGTGATACAAAAAATGGATACAAATGCAGAAAGATAAGTCCTGCGCTCACATGCGCTCTGAGCCGGTGAGGCAAGGAGAAGGAGAGAGTGGTGATGGAGAGGAGGGGATTTCTTCATTAAAAAAAAAGTCCCAGCACCTGTCACAGTTGATGGCTGTGGAATTCAGGCATCATCTCACACATTGCAAGAAGCAATCAATGGAGAATCCTGTGGTCTCCTGGGATGCTTCATAGACCTCAGTTTTGTATTCTTCTGCAGAATACAGCTCTGACGTGGCTCCTGGCAGAGGAAGCCCCAGGAGTCAAAAACGGTCTGCAGGAAGAAGTGGCTGCGAGGGACAGCATCAAGTAATTCAAATTACCTTCTTTTCAATCCAAAAAACACTAACCCAAGTTGGCACTTTCAGGGGTCTTTGCAAAATATGTAAAGACCCCTGAAAGTGAAATCTGCTTTAAGCACAGTGACAATGTTTGCCTGGTGGCCGCACAACCTTTGCAGAAAAAAAGCGATCTTCACCAAACATAGGTTCTTTGTATTTCAATTATCTTCTCAATCTTTTTTCACTGATCTGTCGTATCTTTTTCTAGACTCTTGCTCATACAACTCCATAGTTATACCAAGGGAATGTTGTCTGTAGAGGAATTCCTTCATGTATACACTCTGCACATGCATAGAAGAAAGCTTAAACCTTTTGTTCTACCTCCCTTGTTACTTCAAACTGATAGGGCCAATAACTCAATCTATGCAGGTCAGTGAAAAAGTTAATAATGTGCCAAGTGTGCGTCGGTGAAAAGAACAGAATCTATCTACAGAGACAAACAGAACGGGAGGGGGTGAGTTGCTAAGAGAAACACTCATTGCAATAAATCTGAATAACTGCTACCTAGTAAATGGTGTTGAAACCTCAGAAGAATACATTTCATTGTGTGGGATGAAAGCAAGGAAACTACTATTTTTCAAGTGTGACCCAACTGGCTTCATCTGGCCTCTCCTATCTCGTAGCGAAGGGTTTTAAAACACCAGTGGTTTAACCCTTTGAGCAAGACAGAACTTCAGCTGCTCAATAATGTTTAATTTTGAAAGTGTTAACTAATTGATTACAAATCGTGTGTGTGTTTTGTGTTTTTTTTTTAAAATCATTTATTTGAATATTTTCACCATTTCCCCCCCCGATATTCTAGATAATTTTGCTTAAATTAAATTTACAACAATTTCATAAATAAATGATTTACTGAGAAGGGGCACATTTCTCTTTTTACAAAGAGATGGTTGAACTATACCTGCTAATTTATTGTGTATTATTTATTATTATTATTTAATAGCGTGTAAGGACATAGCAGAGATAAGTAATATCTATTTCAAATAGATAGTTATATATTACTAGTGCTCAAATCTATTTATCTGTTAGTATGTTGGTCTGTTTATCTGTCCTCTGTCTATCTATCTATCTATCTATCTATCTATCTATCTATCTATCTATCTATCTCTTTCTGTCTGTCTGTCTGTCTGTCTCTCTCTCTCTGTCTCTGTCTGTCTCTCTCTCTCTCTGTCTGTCTCTTTCTCTCTCTGTCTGTCTCTCTCTCTCTGTCTGTCTATCATATTTGTAGTGCTCTACCTGATATTCTATGTTATTTGGCTTAAATATTTGTGAAATAAACAAAATGATTAAAATGAAAAGTAGTAAATTGCATGACCTATTAAACAAACTCCTGAAGAGGTTTATAGGAAGTATAATACATAATTTGGCAGCAATTTTATTCATCAGATAAGATGAATGGAACTCCTTCCAACGCAGCTGCACTGTGGCTGCTATCTGCTTACTGCTAACCTCACCCACAGTTTTGTGAGTGAAACCATCAGATGCAATGTACAAAGAGCGTAGGTCTTTATGGTGGTTTAAGTGTCAATTTAATCAGATAAGTCACTAGTGTAAATTATTGCTTGTCATGTAATTAAACCAATCAACTGCTGGCTTCTTTAATGATATACTGCATATCGCATTGTACTTCCAACTTAAAGTATTTGGGTGAACCTGTTATGCTGGTGGGTGTAAATTGTATCCAGGGCTGTGGTTTTGTTCACTAAATGTGCTTCCATTAAACCCACATTGCTTTTATAACTAATGAACTTATATCTAATAAACTGCTTCTAAAGAACTTATTTTTCTAAAGTAAAGAACATGGCACAAACAACTGTATTCTATGTGGGCAACGGCCACATCATTAACATGAATGAGGAATTACTGAACATGCACAATTTTGACATTATATATATCATGCATATATGCTCAGTAATTACCCCATTCATTTGAATGGGAGGCTTGAAGATGATCATTTGCCTGGGTATGTATGTATCTATCTATCTATCTATCTCTCCATCCATCCATCCATCCAATTCTTACATATTGATCATTTAAAAATACATTGTTTAAATGTGTGGAATGTAATTAAATAAATTACCAATAAACAAAAAGTTACACATATCCCAGCTGCCATGTTCTTTAAGCATGCAAGATAACAAAGGTCTATTTTTTATATATATAAAACTTTATTAGCTGTTAAGAATTTGATACTACATCAATTTCTATAAGTACTTATAATGCAAAAACGAAACAGGCTCTACCACCTACGCAAGGGTGTAAGGAATCAGGTCCCGCCAAAACCAATATACATTCAGGAATCTTTATGAAACAGTGTCACTTTAGTTATGTGCCCAAAGACAACGTTTTGATCACTGCAAGGGTCTTTATCAAACTTGTGTTTAATAAGTTTGATAAAGACCGTTGCAGTGATCAAAATGTTGTCTCTGGGTACCTAACTAAAGTGACACTGTTTCATAAGGATTCCTCAATGTATATTGGTTTTGACGGAACCGGATTCCTTACACCCTTGCGTAGGTGCTAGAGCCTGTTTCAGTTTTGCAAGTTGCAATCTTACCTTTGCATACTTTGGGAACCGAAATTAAGGTATACTGCATTATATTGATGTGCTAGAATTTATTGTTTTATCATTCCTATATTTATAATATTTATACACATGTTTTCAGAAGGGTGGAAGAATATGAGAAGTAAACCATTGCTGCTCAAGTAAAAAAAAAAAAAAAAAAAAAGATTAGTGAAAGGAAGTGATTTCTAAGTTTAGACATGTCTATGGAACTTCACTGTTCTGCATACCTTGGAAACAAACAATTTAAAATGCCCATACTTGTCCGGTACATAAAAAAATATCTTGGAGCGTATTTTAGTACCAACTACATAGTAATGGCAGTGTGAACTATTGTTGAACCCCTGAATTATATCATGGTCTATTTTACTAATTCTTCATTATGTGTGTTGTTTCTGCGAGTGTGAGATTTTACTGAGATATGGACAGTTAAGTAGTGCACAAGAGGAATAAATAAATTAATATTAGATTTATAATGAACAGTTTCCTTGTAGAAGAAAGTTACAATGAGAGCACACAGCAGTTTTGAGAAATCATGTTTCAAAAGTTCTCCCAGAAAACCATGCTGGATATTCAAATAGGACCAGACATGGATCATGTATCAGAATTCATCCGCCTCTTGTCTAAAGCTGATGTGTTTCAGGTAACCCTAGAATTTTTAGATGAGTAAAATGTTTAAAATTATATTTCAGTGCTAAGATACCATCAGCACCACGGCACCCACTCCCAGATGTCAACATCTGTTCATGGCTGCTATCGCTAATTAATAACTTAAAAACATAGAAACACAGAATGTGACGGCAGATAAGAAACATTCGGCACATCTAGTCTGCCCAAATTTCTAAATACTTTCATTAGTCCCTAGCCTTATCTTATAGTTGGATAGCCTTATGCCTATCCCACGCATGCTTAAACTCCTTTACTGTGTTAACCTCTACCACTTCAGCTAGAAGGCTATTCCATGCATCCACTACCCTCTCAGTAAAGTAATAATTTCTGAACTTTGCCCCTCTAATTTAAGACTATGTCCTCTTGTTGTGGTAGTTTTTCTTCTTTTAAATATGGTCTCCTCCTTTACTGTGTTGATTCCCTTTATGTATTTAAATGTTTCTTTCATATCCCCCCGTCTCGTATTTCCTCCACGCTATACATGTTAAGATCCTTTAACCTTCCCTGGTAAGTTTTATCCTGCAATCCATGAACCAGTTTAGTAGCCCTTCTCTAAACTCTCTCTAAAGTATCAATATCCTTCTGAAGATACGGTCTCCAGTACTGCGTACAATACTCCAAGTGAGGTCTCACCAGTGTTCTGTACAATGGCATGAGCACTTCCCTCTTTCTACTGCTAATACCTCTCCGTATACAACCAAGCATTCTGCTAGCGTTTCCTGCTGCTCTATTACATTGTCTGCCTACCTTTAAGTCATATATAAATCCATTTCCTCAGATGTTGAGGTTAGGACTCTCAAATATTCTGTACTCTGCCCTTGGGTTTTTACGTCCAAGATGCATTATCTTGCACTTATCCACATTAATTGTCTATTGCCGCAACTCTGAACATTTTTCTAGTGTACCTAAATCATTTGCCATTTGGCTTATCCCTCCTGGAACATCAACCCTGCTACATATCTTAGTATTATCAGCAAAAAGACATACCTTACCATCATGACCTTCTGCAATATCACTTGTAAAAATATTAAAGAGAATGGGTCCAAGTACAGATCCCTGAGGTACCCCACTGGTGACAAGCCCAAGCTTCGAATATACTCCATTGACTACAACCCTCTGTTGCCTGTAACTCAGCCACTGCCTATGAAACATTGTATGTATTGTTTGCATTTTCTAGTATGAAAGCTTATTTCATGCTGCGTGGAGAAATATATACATAAAAAAATATACATACATCAATACATACATATACATACATATACTTAAAGGCACAGCGCACTTTATTCTTACATTGTTCTAATATAGGTGATTGAGCTTTTTCACGATATTTAGTGCTGCTTATTAGTATATATTATAGTTTTTAATTAAGTGCCATAACATTACTTGTGTGTTTTATCACTTTATACATATACAGATATGTGTGTGTAAGTGTGTCTTTGGTCAGTGTCTTTTGTCAGTGTGTTCCGTACATAAGGAAATGTATGTATTGTTTGCATTTTCCAGTGTGAAAGCTAATTTAATGCTGTGTAGATAAATATTTACATATTATTATTATTATTTTATTATTTATATAGCGCCATCAGATTCCGTAGCGCTGTACAAAGGGTGGACTAACAGACATTTAATTGTAACCAAACAACTCAACGTACAGGAACAGAGAGGTGGAGGGCCCTGCTCAATGAGCTTACATTCTAGAGGTACATATAAAAATATACATACATCATTACATACATATACAGATATGTGTGTGTGTGAGAGTGTCTTTCTTCAGTGTCTTTTGTCAGTATGATCCGTACATAAGGAAACATTGTATGAATTGTTTGCATTTTCCAGTGTGAAAGCTAATTACATGCTGCGGAGAGAAAATATTTACATGTAAATACACACATCAAGACACACATATATAGATATATGTATGTGTGCGTGTGTGTGAGTGTGTCTTTGGTCAGTGTGTTCTGTAAATAAGGATAATAGGCATTGTTTCCATTTTCCAGTGTTAAAGTTAATTTCTGGTTGTGGTGCAGGCTGTAAGGACAGTATTAAAATGTATAATCTGCAAAGCAGACATCATATATCTTTTACGAGATAGGAAGTCTGGGAATAGGGATGATAAATGGGTAGGATATATACTGCACAATGTTTCAAGGCTCATTTGCCAACACATTGAGGAAGCTCAGTGTTCACTTAGGATACATGAATAGTGTTGCATTAAAATGCGAAGCAAAGATTTAGGGCAGGAACTTTCCAATGATTAACACGTCAAACACATTCATCTTATGCAGGTACAGCAGGGTTTTCATGCTGTTTTGAAATGCTAATATGCACAGTAAAATGCACCGGTTATTCTCTATGGAGTTATAAGAAATGCACAGCAAAATAAGTACTTAGCAACCACTACGGTGGTTAGAAAATTTATTCTAGAGAAAGTGATTTTTTTTTTATGTTTTAATTTATTTCCAAGTGTTCTTTCAATAGTATAAAAGTCTGATTTGTTACTTTATTTTATTTATTTATTTATCACTTTAGAGCCTAAAGCATCTGTAACGGGCTACGAGTCTAACAAACACAAAATGCATCCTATCTTGTTTCCATTCTCTTGAATATCTGGTGATATTTAAATAGCAGGCTTCCAGCACACAAAGTATACACATTAAAAAAAGGTTTCCAGAAAAACATAAAAAAAAATCTATTGGGGAAAAAACAACAAATATAAAACAGTTAATGTCGAGGAAGTGTCTGTGACAACAGTGTAAAGATCGGGTACGTATTCAAAGCTGCGTGTTTAGTTCTAATGGTAAAATGTATAATTTACTGTTTTATGATCACCCTGGTAAGCACATATACTTGTATTTAGAGATGTCACATATGTTTCAACATAAACAGTAGCATGCAATTGATATGCAGTTGACATTATGCTGACATGTGCATTTATCGGGACCTTAAACAAGTGTGACGTTTGTCTCTCTCTTCGAACTGTATTAAAGGACCACTCTAGGCACCCAGACCACTTCAGCTTAATGAAGTGGTCTGGGTGCCAGGTCCTTCTAGGGTTAACCCATTTTTTCATAATTATAGCGGTTTCAGAGAAACTGCTATAATTATGAATGGGTTAAGCCTTCCCCCTAATCCTCTAGTGGCTGTCTCATTGACAGCCACTAGAGGCGCTTGCGTGCTTCTCACTGTGATTTTCACAGTGAGAGCACGCAAGCGTCCATAGGAAAGCATTGTAAATGCTTTCCTATGCGACGGGCTGAATGCGCGCAGCTCTTGCCGCGCGTGCGCATTCAGCCGACGGGGAGGAGAAGAGGAGGATCGGAGGAGGAGAGCTTCCCGCCCAGCGCTGGAAAAAGGTAAGTTATTACCCCTTTCCCCCTTCCAGAGCCGGGCGGGAGGGGGACCCTGAGGGTGGAGGCACCCTCAGGGCACTATAGTGCCAGGAAAACGAGTATGTTTTCCTGGC